GAAATGAAATTTTCTTATGTGTTTAAATTTTATATGAACCTATTATATTAGCCTATAAAAAAAGAAAATCCAGCAAATATCCCCAAAATAAGGTTTAAGAAATAATTTAGGGACGTCAGAGTTTATGTTAATACTTTGGTGCATATAACGTTATAAAGAACTATTTACCGATTGGTTGATATGCCAACGGCGTATGTAGGACGTTCAAAGTGTGTATGTCTAATAAATCACACTATACATTAGCCATAAAACTCTGTACATATGGAATAGTAATATACATTTTGGTCTGAACATTGATATCTTTTCGGTAATTAAACAAAATTAAAGAGTCACACAAGACAAAAAGAAGTAAATGTTCATAATAACCAAACAATTTAGAAACTTCACAATAAGAACTGATTACTCAAAATAAAGTTTAAAAAAAATAAGTAAGAAGATGGTTAGCAAATAAAAAAATGAAAATTAAACAAAATGCCAATTTAACCGAGAATAATAGTCATGATATAGTATATAATTCAGCCATATCAGAAACATTTCTTTTTTTCTTATATCAAATTATAATTGAAAATTGTTGTCATTTTATCAATATGTAATCAACTATTATACACACTAAATAATTGATAAAACCTCACTGAGATGTAAACTTTGCAAATTATTTCTATCATATATTGTCATTTTCATATTACATGGACAAAAGTTTTAGGAAGTGTAAAGACATATTGAAAGTGTATGTTATAAAATAAAAAAATCTTTAGGTTTAAAATACTACCAATAAACAACTACATGTACAAAGTTGCAAAAAAAATGCAGTTTTTGATAAAAGTAAAATAATATAGTCATACATTTTTTTAAACTAAACAGTTGTATAGTTTTTTTTTTTAAATGAATAACTGTATACAGGTGTACAGTTAATAATTAAATAAAATTATTCCATTGGTTGCAATGAATAATCGTGATTTCCCCGTGATATAAAAACCGATAATTTCACTTGTGAAATAAATCAGATAATTTCACTGCTCTGGCGTCATACAGCAATGGGTGATGTCAAGACGTTGTCGATGACGCTGTATCAAAGCGTAGAAAAAATATAGTTCCTTCCATTTTCTACTTCATTTCCATTAAAAAGTCCATAGTCAATGTAATAAAAAGAATAACTAATGAAATGAATTCAAATATCGAAAAATATTTAACTCGTGACCAAACAACACTGATAATTAACTCATGCGCTACGCGCATTCGTCAATTAATGTCTTGTTCGGTCAGTCGTTGAATATTTTTCTATACTATATTTGAATTCTTCAATTAGTTATTCTACAATTTTACACTTTTACAATATGCGATTTTGCAATTCACCTATGAACCATCGCCTTTGTCTACATTGCCAGGATACACTTTCGAAAACAAAATAGAAACACAAGTAATACTCAATATATAAAATAAACAGGCAACCATAGTTTGTTAATCAATCATGAGATAATAAGTAAAACTATTTTTACGAGTACAAAACATTGAGATAGTTGTTCGGATATATGAATGAAGTCGCGTGCATTTCATTGATAAATTGACATGAAAACCTGACGTTGCAGCACTGGTACATAACGTCATTGCCTACTATTCTCGAGTATCAAGTCCTTTCGATGATCTAAAAAATATTAGGCAGTAAGATCAAAGGGAAAATGTACAAATTGCCAATAAACGTTAATATCTAAAATATTTGTAGAAAAATAAAGAAAAATGTTGGTCATTTTATTGTTGAATTCCTTCATTTAATCGATATGCATGGGCTATTATGTGTGCAAGTTGACGTATTTCATATATATAGTCTTAAGGTTTAGATATTCTAGAGCTGAAAAAAAGTTTTTAAAAGGAAGAAAAGTTGGCAAAACGACGACTGTCTATCTATATAAACATTCAAACAGTCTCAACATTTACGTATTATAAATCAAGTAATTCGACTGAGTGTTGAAATAACGATGAATGCTCTATCAAGAGAATTACTTTTTTACTATTTTATTTGGATATTTTTAAATTGTGTAGAAAATCATTGTTTCTTGTTTTTTTTTTTCTATTTAGTCTTGTATTTATTATGCGTTTTTATTTTTCGAACGGACTTTCTGTGTCATTTGGTCTCTTGTGGAGAGTTGTCTCATTGGCAATCATACCACATCTTCTTTCTTATATATCTCGCTTAACTGTGTAACACATAATTTCTACCGTCGTCGAAGGGAAGATATAATTTCAGATTTAAATAACCGAAATAGTTTGTAGTTGATCTTATACACGGTAAACTAATATCTTTTTCCAGATGAGATTGTTGTTGGTTTGTTTGTTTGTTTGTTTGTTTGTTTTTGTTTTGTTTTTGTCTTTTTTTTTGTTTTTTTTCTACCATATGGTAGTTCCGGATATGTTTATTTTAGGAAGCAGAAGTAAAAATATATACATAACACTTATGATAATTCATTGCTATTGACATGACAAGATTCTCATTTTAATGTCAAATGTTCTATTTTAGTCAAATGTATGTTAGATATATCTCAAGGGTACTGGTATGTATCTCTTTAATGTTTACAAACTTCAATATGTAATATTAATTCTGTCGACCTGTGTAATCTTGGTTTTTTTTCGTAGCATCCTTCTTCAGGTATTCATGAGACAGGGTCTGGGTGGGTTTTGTAGAACAAGGGATAACAAACCAATACTACAGAAAATGGACCCAAAAAATGAAAGTATATAATAGGATAATTATGCAACAATTAAAGAATATAGAAACGGAAAAACCCCACCAGAATAATAAAATTGCCTTCACGTAGTCAATCGCAAATAATTACATCATCTTATACTAAAACAAAAAATATGTGTGCACAGGAACAAATGTCCCGCATAAACTATCATATTTTAAAAGATGAATTATCCGTTATATCTTGGAACTTGACCATGTCATGAGTTTTGTTAAAGTTTAAAGTTGATGTAACCACAAGTTCAAAGTAAATTATTTAAAATTAAAACTTTATCCTGACTAAGGACGGACAAACAGATTTCTAACTGACTGGAAACATAAACAAACTTTAGCATTTTAGGCAGGCATTATCAAATACACAACTAACAGGATAGTAACATTACACAGCTCTTCTGTACAGTATAATTGACATTTGTTTTACGTTTGATGGTCAAATAGCAAAGAAACGGTTCTACTGAAAATACTTAAAAATGCGTTTTGTTACAATATAAAAATAAGGAGATGGGGTATAATTGTCAATGAGACAACTATCCACCAAAGTTTAAATGTTCTGTGTTTCCTCTGATGTGGTATGATTGTCAATGAGACAACTATCCAACAAAGTTTAAATGTTATGTGTTTCCACTGATTCCTTGTCCTAGTTTTGGCTATTCTGTCAGTCCTTCTAAATTTTATCAGATCTTCAACATTTTTATTAGGAACTGAAATTTCAAATATTTAGGCGTCAAGCATCCTTGAAGAGAGGTAAATAATTGAAATACTTATACCTGGTGCAGTAAAACTGGCTCTGTTATTACAAACGTCCTCTTCCTACAAAGTATTGAATGTCCATTCTGTAAACATATTACATTCAAGTTTTACTCCCCTGCAATTTATCGTTATCTATGGAGTTATTATCAGAATAGCAGTAATCAGTGATTTTAAAATGTTTCCTGTCATTGTACTCAAGATTATTTAGCACTCAAATAGAATTATTTCAAAGCATATTAAGTGAATATTTATAAAATGTTAGAATCGTTTTATATCTTGTTTCTATGCTGACGCTTTCAACATGTATATGCTTTGCAATAAATACAGTCCTAGGAGATGCCTGAATTTAGATTCAGTTTTACATAATGATAGTATAGTTTGTTTTCCACTGAAGATGAACTTATAGGTATGAATTCTTATGTGGATTTGGCTATACTTTAGGTTTGTTTTTATTTGACCATTTCCGTAAAGTTTGTATAAGTTTAAGTTCAAATATTTTGTCCCCGAGCAACACTGAAGAGGCATGTATTGACGAAAAACGCACCAGGGGTCGATACCGCTGCTGATAGACTTTTGGGCCCAGACGGTATCACCAGCCCAGTAGTCATATTTTAATGACATGACATTTTTGTTTGTTTTAGAATTATGGATATTCCTCTTAGATTAAGGAATATATCTCTCCAATGCAAAGCTCTAATTCCTTGTCCGGATTAGGCTATACTCTAGTTCAATTTTTTGTTTTATCAGCTCTTTAATTGTTTAAGTTTTGGTTTTTAAGATATGTTGGCCTCGAACATCACCGAAGAGACATTAATTGTTTAAATGCGCATCTTTTGCAGTTGTATTAATATCGTTACTACTTTTATAGACATTCAATAATTAATTTTACACATATGTATGTATGTGTATGCATTATTTAGTTAATTGTTTCTTAAATAATAACACGTTTTTTTAAAGGTACCCTTTTAAAAACAGATATAATGTAAATTGAATAACAATAAATATGTTTAAGGGTATTCTTCTAATGATTTTTTCATTAATGATTCAGAATTTCCAAGGTTGCAATATTAGCGTAAAAACATTTGAGACAATTACTATAGATGTTCACTTTATTTAACATGACTTTGTATTAGCAGATTTATTTTATAAATAACCGCATGTAGAAATTAAATCCATGCAGCAACCGTATTCGAATCTAGTAATCTTCGGTGGGTCTTTCTTATAATTATATGTATCAACTTTCAATTTTTATTATCTGTTGGATTTTCTCTCTCTCTCTCTCTTTGAAATGAATTTATTATGCTAATGAATAGTTATAAAAGAATAATTAGACAATGACAGATGTTACCATTAAATTCTTATATTTAGCAAATGAGATTGACATGTAGGTCATAGCAATAACTTTTACAATCTATGTTTGTTACAATCCAATTGACGTAGTCTATTCGTGTTAGGAGGGATTTAAAAAAATTCCCAGTTGACAATATTTCCTTTTATCTGATTAGTATAAAAAAAGAAATGTTTTTTCAATGTTCATTATTCGTTCTTACATTCCATTTGCAGTAGCTTCAAGAAAGAAAAAGACAGGTAAGTTTTTTTTTTCTTGTTCGATATGTCCAATATTTTTCTATTTAATTCAAAGAAAATGTGCCTTGTGTATTTCATGAATATGTTCAAGATGTTGCAGATTGGTTGAAAATGATTTAAATTTCATTACATTGTCAATGACAATAGCTTGCTTTATTATATTCAACTCTAAAGTATTCAAACATATCATGGAAAAATATGTTTGATATGTTGGGGATTGTTTTTGTCACTGTCCTATGAAAGTTTTTTTTCGGCAAACTACGAATTACTGAAGTTTAGCAGAGTTGGTGAAATTAAACAACCGTGTTCTGACAAAACATTAAGAAACTAGATTTTGGTACAAAAGATAGATAAAAAAAGGCACAGTCTTCTCTTTCTTCATCATGTTCATAATAATTATCATATTCATATTCTACTGGTTTTACTGTAACATGTGGAAAGGAGACTATCAATGTTATACGCCATTCTAACATGACGTTCTTCAAACGCTTTGAGTATACACCCGTGGTAAAATATGAATATATTGTTTGGGCTGTTCCAATCGTACTCCCGCGTCATATGTTTTTTTATGAATGAGCTACCCGACGTCATAGAACGATGACGTAAGAATGTAAGCATTTTACGGGACAATACACGCTTGTGAAACCGAAAATCATCACAACAAGGAAACGTAAACAAACGATACAAAAATGTGTTATATAAGCCATTTTTGTATACATATAAGACATATACGTATAATTATCATTTAGATTCATCCAAACCTATCTAAATATGTTATTGTAATTAGTTTAAGCATGTCATTTATTCAGAGTGCTCCGGTCTTTTACGTCAATTTAATAGTGCGTTTATTTATGGGAACGGCAAATAATGCCTTCCTCTAGAGCGTTTCGATCCAGAACAATTGCCGTATTTGTCCTATTAGAATCGAAATAATTCATGGGGGGCTTGAATATATCGTTATTTTACCACGGGTTGTCCCTTTATGCCGATATTTTACCCCTCGCTATCGCTCAGGGTAAAATATTTGTCATAAAGAGCCAATCCGTAGTAAAATCACGATGTATTCAAGCCCCCATGAATTATTTCTTAAATATAACATTTAGAATCCAAATTGGAAGTTATTTAACTGGCTTAGTTGCGTGTCTGAATATTTATTTTCTGTGTTGATTCACGACTTTTTGTACATCGGTAAACTGCTGTTACCATTAATTTGTGATAGCTTAATACAGTGCAACAATTAAGAATGATTCATAAAATATTTGACCATTACACTTACACTCTTTTATTTTAAATACGTGCATGTATTACAATAACATTTTTCATTAGTTAAGTATAGTTTCAATTTTGGCCTCGACGGACAGCTGGAAGACAAATCAGATAATATGTTCTGTGAAGCTTTTAGAATAAATGAATTTGACTCGTATAATCTTTGATTTCTGTCGTACTACCATACTGTTTGTTATGATAATTTATACTATTACTATTACTATTATTATTATTATTATTATTATTATTATTATTATTATTATTATTATTATTATTGATAATTTCTCTTAAACAGAACCATGAGTACCTTAGTACTAGTAATTGGGATTGCTGTGATGGTAGCTTTAGCCACTGCACGCGGTTATGATAGTTACAATCAAAGATCATGGGATTTGCACGGTTCTGGACTTCTTAATAATGGATGGAATAGTAGACATCTGACTAGAGGCTTGAGTGGCGGACATCTAACAAGAGGATTGAGTGGCGGACATTTGACCGGAGGACTTCGAAGTAATTATTTTCATCAATCATGATCTAAAAATATTTCCATGTTTAGTAATTTTATACTGAGTATAGTAACGAGCTGATTGACTCTCTTCACCCAATATTAGTAAATAAAAATAGTAGATGAAAGAGTATTATATCAAAAAACCTTTTCATCACAGTCTGTAGTGTGTATATGTAGCATACTTGTTAACTTGATAAATTCTATTAAAAGTGATAACTTTTAAATAGTCATATGTATTTACCCAAAACGATATGCAATATTTTGTTGTTAATCTATTTAGGCAAAGTGTGAGAAATATTTTATCATACATGAAAATACATTAAATATATTTCAAATAATGAGATGCAGTGTGATCGCAACATAGAAAACCAAAGACTGAGCAAAACGAACCCCACGAAAAACTAAGGGTGATCTGAGGTGCTCTTTGCGTCTTAACAAAGGCAAGCACAAGACATTTGAAAATTTTCAACATGCCACTAATAGTAATAATCATTTTACAGGATACAGAAGAGCAGCGACTGGTTACGGGCCATATGATTCATACAGAGACAATCGCCGTAGTCATTTTGACAGTGATTTTGGAAGATTCGATAGATGGGGATCTAACGTAGGGTGGAGATCTAATTCCGGATTGAGATCTCATTCCGGGTTGAGATCTAATTCAAAATGGAGTCAGATAGGTAGGTTGTGTTTAAATTAGTGTAAATATGACATAGTTCTGTTGTTATGATATTATGGTAGCGAAATCGAGAATAAGTGATGTTTCTATCGTTCTATTCAAGGATCAACCTGTTGATTAAGATCTGCTAAAAATAAAAACAAATGTTTCTATAAAACGTATTTTGCTTACTAGAATAATAATATTAAATGTTTTGTTATTTCTTTGTAGTTTCTCATTTCATTTGCTATAACTTACGAAGTATATTTGTCCTTAATATTATAACGATTTATTACAAATAAAAGTGGTTTGTACTTTTATCAGACAGATAATTAAGAAATGATTTAAAAATACTTAAAACCATTTTAAAATTTAAAACAAAACATGTCAATATCTTTTGCTCGGGAAAACAGTTTTAACACAAATGGCAATATCCAAGATAAATTCAAAGAGGGGAAATCCCAAAAAAACATTATCAAACGGTCTACCATATCCACCAATGGATATGATGAAAATCATTACAATTTTGCACAAAAGATTCGTCTTGTAGTTTCAGTGAAATGCTAATGTCTAATTATTAGTTAAACTTTTCTTAAACCGAAATGTTGCAGCGAAACGACAGCCGCTTAAGTGGTATATTAAGTTCATCGTTGTTTCGAAAAAAAACAGTTGAAGATAATTATATTGATAATAATAATAATAATAATATTAATAATAATAATAATGAAAAGTTTCTGAAAATTAAAATTGTCTTTCTTTTACAGGTTACTAGAAAAAGACAAAGACCTAAGGAGCACACTTCAACATTTGTACATGTCATCATTCATTGTTAGATTTTATACTTTTTTATCAATAAATTTCTAAAAATATAGTATATCCTTTCTTTCGTGCAGATGAGAGGGACTTTTGCTTTGTTGTGCAAAACTTTAAAGTCAAAAGGTACGATTCTAATGTCTTTTCGTCTACGTTAACCTCAGTGTATAGGTATAAGAAGATGTGGTATGAGTGCCAACGAGACAACTCTCCATCGAAGTCAAAATTTATAAAAGTAAACCATTATAGGTCAAAGTATATACCCATTTTAGTAAATTCATAGGTGTATATTTTTCAAATAAATGACTCGTATAAGAATAAGAAGATGTGGTATTATTGCCAATGAGACAACTCTCAATCAGAGACAACATGAGGAAGCAGCAGTTAGCAACTATCTGTGACCGTACGGCATTCAATAATGAGCAAGATTCATAAAGCTTCTTATGTTTGATACATTAATGGAATAGTCGAGTTTTTGTCTTGCGCATAAATTATCAAAAAAAGAAGGAAAGAAAACAAGGAGGAATTATAAACTCATAAGTTGGAGTAAACAGAAAACTTCATCACAAAAAAGAACCCTAAAAAGAACGTAAAAACAAAAAAAAATCAACAGAGCTCTTCATAGGCAAGTTAAGACTGAGAACAACGAATCAAAAAGACAAAAGTCCACCACAAATAACAATGAAATTAACAACATTTTGGAATTTTCAGAACTTTTCTAGATATTTGTTAGATAACCAGAAAGGAAACTATATCAATAGCGACGCAATGAGTAATACAGTTACATACCGATCGAAAACAGGTGCAGAAGAATAAACAGGAAACATAACCTCAATAAAAATACTCTAATAGTATTTTCTGTATAAGTATAAGACAGATTCATTACAAATCAATAAGTAAAAGAGAGGCGAAAGATACCAAAGGTACATTAGTTGAAAATAAACTAACAACACCATGGCTAAAAAAGAAAAGGCCAATAGACAAATAACAGTGCACAAAACACAACTTAGGAAAAGTAAAGACTGAGCAACACGAACCAAACCAAAAACTCGGGGTGATCTAAGGTGCTTCTGAAGGGTAAGCAGATCCTGCTCCACAAGTAATTCTCCTAGTCATCTGTGTTTTACGTTCTGGGGTATTTTTACGTCTTTTTTAACCTCTTCCGTATGTGGCTTTTCGAAGTTTGTTTCTACTAGTGTTATAAGGTAAAGTGACAGAGAAAGTGGTAGAGATTGATTGAAATACATGCGGAAAAAGGATTAAATTTCAGGATACAACTTAACATAATGACGTAAACGGCACAAATGTTACTACACCAGCTGCGCATTTCTAGAATAACTGTTTCTTTCGGTAGTGCTCGAACACAATTTCGTTCTTTGTTTCAATCTGATATGAATTGAAATTGAAATATGAAATAAAAAAAAAAAAATTCAAAAGAAAACAATAATTCGGTTTTCTGTAATATTGGACGTCAGGTTTATGTAATACTTGTGTGTATAAAAGAGAGGCAAGACATACCAAAGTGAGATTCAAACTTATATGTCGAAAACAAACTGACAATGCCACAGCAAACAAAACAAAAAACACAACGAAAAATGACGAAACGACAAACAACAGTATACACAGAATACAACATAGAAAACAGAAGACTGAGCAACACCAACCTACCAAAAACCGGTATACATATATTACGTTATAAATCATCAATCGCCAATTGGTTGTTCTGTAGAAGGTGTAATCAGAATGCATAAAGTGTAAATGTTTTATATTTGTATATCAAACCATCAATTTGGGAGCTTTAGCTAGCTATAAAACGAGGTTAAAACCATGATTTTTCTCAAAACAATGCCCGTACTAAGTTAGGAATATGCCTGTACTAAGTTAGGAATATGACAAATTTGTTTACAATTAGTTCCGTAGGTAAATACAGTGGAGCATTTGGTTTTGTTAGGTTATATAGATTTCCCTTTTTTTAATATACCTTGGATTTCGGTATTTTTGTTAATACTTTTTAGGCCAAACCACGATAAAGCCTTTTTAAAAGCTTTTCAGCATGGCAGATAAGAAAATACCTCATAATATCTTTGAACAACTTAAAAATGGGTGGGATATTTGAATGTCTCTGGAAAAGGGGGTATATTGGATAGGGACAGAACTTTAGTCTTCTTACATGGTGCCTACGGATCCCCAAGGAATTGTTGTTGGTCATTTAACGTAAAGTGGCATTCTCTCTCAGACATCGTATTGAACGTCCTCATTCTGAATGAACGCGGCTGCGAACTTGACATCCTCCAACGGATGCCTCACGTTGTTTTACTACCAGTCCAAAAAAGAACAAGGAATGATAATATCTATATACCCCAGTTAACCCTTTGGGTCCAGTTCGGTTCATTTGAGTCTACTTCTTTGAAAAACTAAAGGCCTCGGTATGATTAAAGCCCGTTCAATCATATAAAAAGTAATGAAATTTGGTTATTGTCTTTTGGTAAAGAAGTACGCATTCAGATCACAATCAATCATTCTTACCGTGTTATTATTTGCATTAAAAAATTTCCAAATGAGTTTAACGATAGCTAAAAATCATAATCTCATAAAAGTCAGAAGAAAGATACAAAACGGATAAACCAAGAGTATTAAAACTGTCGACATGTGTTCTCAACGCTGACATGTACAGTTAAGTGTTATTACAAATGATATTACACAAAATGATATCTTGTACAAATTAAATACTACGAATCATAAAAAAAACCCAGTAACTTATATAGAAATGAAATGAATAAGTAATTTCGTTTGGTTAACAAAATTTAAAACAAGATGACATTTCTGTAATCAACCATTAATAATAATAAAGTTTTGAAACAAGAAACGGCTTAACATTCCGACATGTACTTTTCTTAATTTTTTTATTGCGTTTTACAGAACGATGATCACAAATAACGAATATAGAGCAAAATATTAATTAGAGCTATTTTCTAACTGCCAGTACTAGTAGACCAAACGCTTTTTTAATTTGTATACTAGTTTTGTTTGACGTTTGTTCAAGCTAAAATAATAAATATTGACATTTGAAGAAAAACAGATAGGCGGAGTTTCAGTCTGTGAATAATATACAATTGTTGTCATATTGTATCTTGTATGTTTTTAGTTAGTGAAACACCTATTGTAGTATCTTTTAACTGGACTTCTCGCTATATCGATGATGTTCTCTGTATTGTTTTGTTTTGATATATTTGAATGTCCCTTTGGTACAATTCGCCTCTCTTTTTTTTTGTTACACATATTTGAAAGCTTCTGGATTGCTTTATATCGATGTTCCCCCATTCAAATATATAAAAGGCATATTTTGATTGCCAGTTAATACGTTTCAAAAATATTATTTAGTTTAAATATACAAAGCTTATCGAACGCAAAATACTAAACATTTTACATTTGAACAAAATTATTTTTAAGGGTATGAGTTGTTAAAATTGATTAAAGAAATAAACTCAACGGATTTGATATGACAACTGCAAGTGGAAAGAGGGTTTAGGTGAAAATTTAATCTTCTTCATCGAAAGAGTTGTGTGAATTTTGAAGAAGTAATTAAGGAAATTAAAAAAGCTTTGAAAGTCATCGGTTCACCTCATAAGCACCCACGATTGCAAATGAAGATATCATTATTAAAACTTTACGCATGATTTGCCAAGAGAAGGGCAAACTTTATATCTGACAATCTATAATATTTAAATAAGATAATAAAGAAAATGTATCCTTCTTACAGATTGCTTAATATATGTTTTCCATACTTGGGCAATGGAGTCTAAGATGACAGTCATTTTCAAAAAAAATCAGTCCTTTCTGAAGATATAGTTTAACCATTTTGGATGAAATGGCGCGAAACTATCATTTGGTTATCAAAAAATGTAATACAATCGAACAAAGAGGGTATCTGTATCTTTACTGGAAGCGGTTTGTTTCGTGAAGATCCAAGTATTGTCTGTTTTTTTAAAGGAAGTCAACTCAAGTATTTTATTTGAATTCAAAGGCAATAAAGAAGTCCAGAGTTTGTTCAAGAAAACTCAAAACATAATTGATATAGGTTTAAATGACATAATAATATGGTGAACGTTTCTAAATTCTATTAAGGGGTTTATGATTAGTTGTAGATGATAAACTGGTTAACCTAGATAATGCAACGACAACGTTGTTTATTTCCCAAGGAAAACCCAAAAATTCATTTTAAAACTTTCAATAAATTATAATAATGTTTATAGCATTAATTCCAAATTCACAACATGGAAGAACAAATAGGCTAACGAATTGTTTTGCTAGGGTTCGTCTTTCTCAACCATAAGTTTTTATCGAGTGTATTGTTTGTAGACTGTTGTTTTTTTTTTTTTTTACTTTAGTTTTAAGATACATGTAGTTGTGTTAATTGGGTATAATATTCCTGATAAAACAATTTCATGAAGAGCGCGTATAGGGAAATGCCTGTAAGGAATATGACAGTTGTTTTCCATTTGTTTGATGTGTTTGAGCTTTTGATTATGCGGTCCGAATTCCCACAGGTAAAGTTGACATGATTATTATTTCAGACCCTGGTTGATCATATAGCTCTCCAAGTTTTAAGGTAGTAATACAATCTAGGCTTTCATTATTGTGATTTGTTATGAGCGTTTCTGTTAAAGGTAAATCAAGAAAAGATTTTTTTTTTAATTTAGAAAAAACTGTCTACGCGAGACTTTTCAAGAAGTATATATAAACTTGTTCAATAGTTTACTCATACTTCTTGTTATTTAGTTACATATGAATCTGCAGTACTACGAAAAAATGAGCAAATGCATATAATCGTTACAGTTTTATTTGAAAAAGTAAAAATCTACGGATGAGTGATATCATGTTCAGATGTTGTGATGTACTCCTTGTGTCCTTGTCTTTTCTTAATATCCTGTAAAACAAAAGTAATTCCAGATTATTTGAAGATAAACAATTTTATAGTATAATTTACACATGTAATAAATGCAACCACTTCTTCTTTTTTACATGGTGACTTCATTTCTTCATTATGTTCTGTATAAA